TCCAAAAGCCGTGAAGTGATTGTCTACAATAGTTTTGGTATCGGACACAGCAATCCATGGTCATTTTCATAGCTGTAGGCAAAGCTTCTTTACCACGCATGAGTGCTTCGGACAGTGCTCGGCTACTCCACCTGGTAATGTTTCTAATAGATACGAACGGTTACTTAGATAGGGAGACCGAGGACAAGAATGGAAAGCATCCCAACAAGGGATGGTTTGCGTCTATGTTTCCTGGTTAAATTCAAAAAAAAATACACACTACAAGTAAAGCGCAAGAGCAAAAATGAGGAATAAATTGAATGCTGCTCCCCAGAAAAACATTATGACAGAGAGCAACTACTTAGTTCTTCCGGCACTCATGTTCCGCTTTCTCTGAGGTACGGATCTTATTCGATATATCTGACATGTGAACGACAGGAGGCAGTAAGAGGTCCTGGAGATGTGTTAGCATAATGGATGAGCATGTTCTCTTCGAACAAGGGGAAACTGCCAACCCAAATAGTCGACCAGCCGAACGTTGAAGCCAGCCAAGTAATCAAAGCCCCTCCGCCTGACCAGACATGCTTCTTGGGTCTTGATTGGATTGCGTTGTTGACAACCACCTCAGCATATTGATCGACATCCATCGCATTTTTCTCCACCCCGGCTCCAGTCAATACTGGCTCAATCACATCCTTCGCCGGGTAGTAAAGGGAGCCCTCAGGCAGAACTGGTTTACTAGGAAGATTTTCGAATAACTTTGTCTTGACTGCACCAGTAGTGACAAGAATTGCTCGGACTCCCCAGGGAGAAAATTCAATACGCATTTGGTCAGTCAAGATAGCCACGGCGGCTTTGCTTGCGTTGTAATAACCTTGCCATGGGAGAGGCATCTTGCCAAGCACTGACCCAATGTTGATAATCGTTCCTTTTGAGCCAATCAATAGTGGTGCAAATGCTTGAGTTACGGCAACGACAGCGAATACATTAACATCAAATATCTTCTTCGCTACTGAACTGTCCGAGTCCAACAAGGGCATGCAGTAACCTGTCGAATTTTTAGCTCTCTTCAAAGTAGTCAGATGTACAATGCTTCCAAATCGGGAGACCCACCAGCGCCCGAGTTGTTGACCAGGAAGTCCAAATATCCCCCTGTTGCAGCCTTCACCGTTGACACTGCTTTTTTGATTGACTCTTCGTCGGTGACATCTAGTTGTACAATGTCGAGACCCATTCTCTTAAGATGTTCGACTTTCTCGGTATTGCGAGCGCTGGCAAAAACTCGAAAGCCTCTTTTGTGGAAGTTTCGGGCAAGAGCGTCACCTATTCCACCTTCACTGCAACCTGTGATGAGAACTGTTTTCTGACCCATGTTTGCGACCGATAGTTTGGAGGGCGACTTATTCTCCCCTCAGAACAATGGTGCAAAGTATACTTTGGACCGTCCGCGAGGTATAAGCGCGATTTCGTTGGGAAGGAAGAAGTATGAGGTCTGTTAGCACTATACGCAGGTAGATTTAGCAAGCATGCAGTTATTCAAACCTTAATTCAAGTCGTTGACGACAGCCGTGAATCGAGCGTTGGGTTGATTACAAAACTTCCCGGTTTGCCCGCCTCGGGCCTGCTCGCCGTGGTTTTCAGCGCCCACAATGGGATGCGGGACCTCTTCTTTCCACATGGCCCTCCACATGGCCCTCCACATGCCCCAATTTTATGGAGTTCCTTCCGTTGACTTCCCCCCCAAGTGAACATGTTCGAGACGCCCATCACGCAATATAATACCACACGCCATGCTTCTGCCTCTGCTTGTCCAATAAATCCTCAATGTGCAATTTCTGCCATTTTTAGATTTTACTATGGTCACCGAAACGTTTCTCCATTTTCTTACGAAGACACCCTGTCTCTGTGATTTGTGTTCAAAGTATTTTCTATTCTACTATAATCTCGTTGGCTGATAGATTACTGCACTGAAAATACTGTCATATATGCACAATCCTAATTTCCCAGTGTCGGAATGAATCAATCGATGGAATGTAGATCTTGGGAGTAGGATAATAGGAGTGAAGACAACAAGGCTAATTAGTATGAATTACCGGAACACAAGTAGTGAACAGCACGAACGTGCCAAGGAGAAGAATATCAGTAAGTCATGGCACTACATTAATTATTGCCTGACAGTATGTGATTGGAAGGTGTAGTGAAAGCCGGTCGGCCAAACTGGCGTACGTTGGGAGACTGATTAGTGATCTATTCCGATGTTTTGTAATCTACGGAGTACATGGCCGAGGTTCCCGCCCCACTACTGAGAAAGGATATAGCGCGGTGACACTGTTAAGTCATAGAGATTAGAATGTTCAGTAATCATTTCAGCCTTTGGTTACCGAGGTGCATAGGAGACTTGGGAACAATAATAGAAGATACACTTGGTTTATAATTAAATAAGGCTAGGGCTAGAACCGTTATTGATTTATTCGGTCTAGGACGCGATGACTTCTGGAGTCGCTTTTCAGGGAAAGATAGAATTGTTGGTTCACATACAATATTATACCAAGAACGGATCTCCACAAAATTTTGATTCTATTAATTTATCACCGTACCTTCCATGCAAAAACCCACGGTATGTCGGCTTATGCCGGGCCCAGTAGGCAAATGAGGGATTACAAAAACTTCCAACAAATAGCCACTATGATTTCATAAATCTTTATCACAACAACTTATTGACTTGAAAATGCAGAAATATTATTTCAATGGGATCTCAGAGACATTGTACATTACTTACCTTCTTTTAAAAGCTTCAGTCTGCTAACAATGCCCTTAAGCCCATCAAGACAGACTCTCAGTAGGTAACCTTAATATTGCCTTCAGCAAATAAGCTCCCAGTTAGAAAGACAAATTTACAGGCAAAAATTTATGCACTGTGGTAAGCAGAAACGGTTGTCATATTACATCAGTTATACAGATTAACTGGTTAGGCACCTCTTCCCCCCGGGTATCCAATAGTGGGAAGATCAGACGTTGAGTTGGAGTTGGAACTTTGAGTGCGGAAACCTATGTCATCAATAAATCTTCACTGAGCAAGAATATACTTATATCAGCGAGTTGGGAAGGGCGACGCGATATATACATATCATAATACTGCAATCGATGACAATCTGTGGCTTCCGGCTTGGTAGGCATTGGGGTGACAAACGGACAAATTGAGAAAGTCGGAGTAGCCCATCTGTCACTCATACTTGAGCATATAATGCTACAGAGCCCGTATAAAGAATCAAGGAGGGGAAAATGGTCAGTAAGTGCAACAATTATCAATTGATGGGGTTGGTTGGGAACTTCCTGCTTAGTATCCCCGTACTGTCTTTATGAGAGGGTAACCTTTTATGCAAGGGCTGTGTCCATGATACTATGGGGGAAAAGCCAGACAAGTGGTTGTGGACAAATTCATAGGGTGAGGCGGTCTTTTAGTGGCCGAGGAGTAATGGCTCCGATGATTATATGTTACGGGGTGCTAGATAGGCAGATTCCCCCGTGACATACGCGCCAATATCTGCAACTTGCCATAAGAAACATACTACTCTCCCAAATGAAGCTATGGATCATGTAATCTCATTCTTGGGGGCGTCCCTTCTTCACCTTCAATTATTACTGGTCTGCTGCATCATCCGTCCCTACCAGGCTCTGGCGAAGTGCCGCTAGTTCCACGCTGCAAGAACTTTTATACTACATATACTTGGCCTCACTCACTAAACGAGTTAGCCTCGCTTAACCAGTTGTATTCCTTAGTGCCTGACGGTATTATATCCCTGAGAGCATATTACCTGATATAGTAGAGCACATGACACACAATTCTATGGCCTTCATTGTAGTACCTGTGTAGGTGATAGACACTTTGACGGGTACGTTCTGTCTAACGTGCCTGGACAGGAAAAACTTCCTGCAGATGACTCAATTGGGTATGCAGTCGGATCTGGAACTTGGCATTAGCCCTGGGCGCTCATTCCTACAATGTTTAGATAGTCCGGTCTTCTTCATGGCCATGAATGCCGCAATCGAAAACAGCCTTTTAATATCCCCAAATATGTGTCACCATTGGTGTCGTACATTAGTCAGGACCGCGGTATAAGGACAGAGTTACCCGCGGTAGTCATAATGTTATGGATATAGAGGGCACTGCTGGACAGTGACTTCGTATCTTATAACATGGCCAGAAACTTAATCACTGACCTTCACGTATTAGAGCTCTTATATGTGTCTATGATTACATTTTGTTGTATGGTTTGGAGTCATATGATATCTACGAGATATATGACTTTTTAAAGCATAGGATTGATTATTGCGGAAAGGATAAATACTCGGTACACAACCTAGCGGTTTGCCTTTCTATTCTGGATTTATTAGCACGATACAAGTCAGGACACTGTCTTAGGGGGTGAATTTCAAGAGCTTTCCGACTCCAAGACGAGATCCCTAGCGGATCCAAGGTATAATAGAAGTCGGGGCGGCCAGTTACGCGCCTGGTCACCAACACTAAGCAAAGATTGTTGTCATAACCTTAGAAAGTGACTACTCAATTTCAGTTGGTGCAGTGATTCGCTGCCCCCGTTCATGATGTGTGGCCAGTTGTAGCTACTTTTTATCTCTTTTGCTTACCGAGGTTGCTGCGATGAATATGTTGTGTTGCTCTTTACCGTCTCTGGCTGATTTACTGTTTTATGTAGTTCTATAAGGTTGGATTGCGCAATGTTTTATGTATGCACGACTCAAGTAGATCTAAAATTCAAGTGGCAAAGACATGAAAGTTGACTAGAAGTTGGGAGATTTTGCATGCTTATCAAACTTCATGCGTTGATTTCGGTTATTATACCATCATGATCGCTTGACGGGCCACAACGTACGTGAATATCCAAACAGAATCTTAATTATACATGTATTGTCGAAGAAGTGATTATTGATACTCAATACAAAGCGAACATTATGCGTGCATTCTTTATGTCATTAGACCTCATTGAGTAAACATAATATTTGTGTATTCGTTTGATCTCATTATATTCAGGGTCCCAAAATAGTAGATAAGTCTGACACAGATACAGAGCCAGGTTGGGCGGGTTCAGGTCGGGCTTGAAATTAACTCTGGATTCATCTGCCTGGCCTGAAGTCAAGCCCCATTTAGTCCATTTCCCTTATAGCATCCCGTTGCAACATGCCCCCAATGATTCCTGCAAATAGCACCCATTCTAATGTCTATGTGTCCACAGAAACCGCACGATTTCGGCACAAACAACCCTCTCGGTCTCCGTTGCACTGCCCCATTTCCAGTTCCATCCTGTATGGTAGGTCAAATCGTTTCGCGCAGAGATGTAACACTCCGTTGATTCCGGCGCCGACACTGTCAAGTTCGAATTATAGAACACCACGACGTGCTCCTCTATCCTATGTCTAGTGCCATCACCCCACATGCGTTTTCTTTCTTTCATTGTGTTCACATGAAACCCGAACGGCTTGCTCTCGTCAATGTTCTTGTCGTACCGGATCGACCAGACCACGCGATTGAAGTTCCATTTCCCGAACTGATCACACTCCTCGTAGCTGCAGAAGTTGCCTGTGTCGTCCCAGTCACACACCCCGCGGATGCCAGTGACATGGCTGCCAACTGTGGTACCGTCCATCTTGTTGGTTATCAGGTTGACTAGAGTTCCTGATTATTTCGTAGGAGATGAAACTGTGAGCTTCTTGGATAGGATTGTCGGTGTTGATGTACTCTTCACAGGACATTCTTTTCTGATAAGATTTTTAGCTTGTTTGGAAACGGGTACTGTGTTATATGCCCGAGTTAGTGGTGAGAGTGAGAGAGACAACTGGAAGAAAGGCTGAACTGCCACATCAACTCGAGTGGGACAATGCTCGTGTCAGATGACTGGCAAGGATCATGGGCTTGGCTTTCCAGGATATGCATCCTTCAAGCGATGATCTTTTCCAAATACATTGATGGCCTCGCGGGTCTTTCAGAAGCCGTGGATTTTGGTTGATGATTTCTGGATTGGCTATGGTCCGTGCTTCAACTTTACTTGTCATGAGAATGATGTATGCACAGACCGAGCACCTTGACTGTGTCAGCAGGAACCACGTCAAGATAATAAACTATAACATGTTGACAGGGGCTTCCATCTGGCGGCCTAAGTCCCGGCAAGCAAGTTCTTCCAGGCCTCTAAGCGGGCCCACAACGCCTACAGGTAAAAAGGTCGATTTCTATTTATTGTCATATTGAACTGCTTCCTTAATTAGGATATTCTGCCAGGCAGAAACCTTGTAATTATTTTATATACCAGATATCCGCCTTGATAACTGCCTGAATACAGTGGGGCATGGTACTAGAACGGCGTATTTAAAATGATTTCCGTAGAATGCCAGGCTTCTGTCAGGATCCCGCCTGGTGTGCTTCAGGCAGTGAATTCTCCAGATCTAAACTCCTCGGCTATTCGGTAAAAGACTAGCTTGACTAAAATAAATCCACTTGATTTTCCTGACTATTAAGGATTGCTAGGGATTCTTGGCTCCGCTGCCCTGCAGCCCATTTCCGTGTAGTACAGCCATATGTGTTTTGCAGGTTAATATCAATACCTCGCTCCAGAGGAAGATGGATACCCTCAGGGCACATGGCAAACGCCGCATAGTGCAACGCTGGTTCTGATTTGTTGCCTTACAATTCCAAGATTCAACTGGGTCCTACTCAAACTCGGGCTGGTCAATGCGTAAGCCCTCCTTGTTGAGCACTCAATAGCTATTGCAGGGCTTTAAGTTCGGCTTTCAGCAGCTTGTCGGGCGTTGCTACAAGGAAAATTGGCCTCGAGCGGCAAGCAGATTAAACGGGAACGCTGAGGCATAACATCCAGCCTAGCTCGTTGCATCCTCCTCATATTTGGGTCAGCTCCATGCGCAAGCCCGCAGAATATCCAGATCTCATTGTGGGTCATTCATCTGTAAGACTGTTCGCATGGACGCCTTTTCAGTAATCAAAGGCGACATAGCTCGAAATTCGACATAGGTCCTTCTGGGTGAGGGCGTGGATAGTCCCACCCATGATGTAGAAAGATCTCGAGCTTATCAAATGCATCGGTGTTCAATGCTTTTTAGGCCACCATATCGGCATAATAGACGCTTCTTGTTTATCTTTTACGTATTTGGCGGTAACTAGATAGTTTGCAGTCACAGCGTTCACCGACCGTCGAGTAAGAACTTGGTAGACAGGCTTGTTTTTATCAGTGTAGCCTTCCAGTTCTGCCCGATCTAGTATCTCAGCAGTCGTTCGCTGGATTCAGAGAGGCTTTTTCTTTCTGGATATTTGATTACCTACCTCCGATTTCCAAGTGGCTTGTTCACCCTGCAGTTTGGCGTGTCTCTGAGGATCTCATGGTGCCCCCCTGCGTCAGACATATTATGAGATGACGTATGATCTATTAAAGGGAAAGAAACAAAAAAAAAAAAAAAAAAAAGAAGAAGAAGAAGAAAGGAAAAGCTAAAGAGGAGAGGGATAAAGTACCTTGGAGAAGTGCTATGTCAAGAGAACAGGGCCAACCATCCACTGTATGATACGGTCGGGCCCGATGCAGCGCCACTACGGTGTCAATTCATAGTCCGTATGGCTCGTTTGTCGGAGCCATTTACTTCTCAAGGTATGCGACCAGATAATTTGTTTCGGTTGGTCTATGAGGGCCACTTCTTTAGGTGACTCTCGTGGTGGCTACACTCTCTGATGAATGATGATTGACAGTATGGTGGCAGAGTACTCTCAAGATCCCGACGCCTGGAAGTAATTCGTGTGTGGAACAGATCTTGACGATGGCTGCTGACAAATCACTCAACAGATGGCGTTAACGCGGCAGAAGGGAAGAGTGACGAACCTAATGATAGCAAGAACAAATCAAACGTACTTTTGTATCTTCGAAAAGCCCCCATCGTCTCTTCTCTCTTCTTTTCTTCAGCGTGCCCAGCCCATCGGGGCCACGACTCCCACGAGGTGACTTATCTGTCGGATCCGACAGATACGAACCATCTCCGGCCAGATCATAAAAAGGGGGTTCGCATGTGGGGGGACACTAGGAAAGACCCCACATTGGCCAATGACGGGAGCAACTCTCGATGCCTATTATTACCTACTTAATAGAAGTAAGTTGTACTGGTATTATACGCCTAACGGGTTACCCAAGGGGGTCAGTCGTCATGGGTCACGACCTATGAATGTCTTCAACGATGGCCCACCGGACCGGAGTTCGCTCCGATCATCGCGCCCATTTCTCCGAAACAGACCCCTTCAATTGTTGATGTGGTCACTCCTCAAAATGTGGTGCATCGTGTTTCTATTAACACGTTGCTTACAAACCTAGAGAGTCTACGGAAAAGGCTGCATTATCTTTACGAGCCCTCGACAATTCTAAGGCTGTATCGCATCGCAATCTATGTTCGCCGGCAAGCACAAGGCAGTGGAAAAGCCCATTATGAGACCGCTGTGCGTTATCCCCAGTATGTAGCTCTTGTTGGCTCATGTAACTCGACACCAGTATCGATAGTGTAGGCCGTGTCTATACAAAAATTCATCTTTGAATCTGTCTATCCCATCTCCACATCGCGCCGTAGTGATTTATCCATCGCTTAAGCCACTCGGTCATCAATCTGCTTCCTCCTCTCCTGTTGTAGGTGTTCGAGAGACTTTAGCACTCGAATGTGCTCTTTCTTGAGGGCCTCGAATCCGTCGTCGAGCTGTTTGTGCCATGGGTATAGAACAAACACCTGGAATGCAAGTGCCGACGATGCCACGACAAAATTTGTCAACGATATTCCACGCGTCACGATCATCTTGCTGTCCTCGCGAACCGTTAGTATAGGTGTTCTCTTCGAATGTCATCGACTTACAAATCGAGGGCTGGCGTTTATCTCCAGACTCTAGGTTTACCGCAGCTCAACGGAACGGGAAAGTTTGAACAAAGGGGCAAGACAGTTTAGGTCCTGAATACTAGTGCCCTTTGGAAAGACTTTTATGTATGAGCGGAGAGAAGAGAGCGTCGAAGGTGAAATAGAAGGCGTGATGAATGCAAGAAAAGTTTAGGTGCCCCTTTCAGTGTGTTCGGCGGGATCGGGAAACTAGCCGATTCCTAGTACCGATTAGTGGGCTACACACTAGTGGCTGAATCCACGGATCTCTGAAAGTTGTTCGCAGGCATTGCGACACAAGTTACCCCAAAATTGTACTAGACTTTCCTTCTTTCGGATAGAGATCGACAGACAGTTATCAAGACGCATAATTCCATTCTTTTGCTGGCCGCTGACTGGCATATATGATGCGGCTGTTCTCTGTTAACTAAAGTCCAAGGCAATGCAATGACTTCCCTCCAGTAGATGCGCCTTTGCCCTTGTCATCTACTGCTCGACTACGTGTGTAATTGACACCTTAATCGATATGTGTCCCCAAGCCTGAGGTTTCCAAGTGGCTGTCACTACTTGTGGGTAGGCTGACAGACCGATCTAGGCGATGCACCGTTTATATTCCCGCCTCATGATAACACCATCACAAGAATGAAAAAAAAAAAAAAAAAAAAAAAAAAAAAAAAAAAAAAAAAAAAAAAAAAAACAAAAAAAACAAGAAAGAAAATAAAGAAAGAAAAAAAGCCCCTAAGGAGGAAGATAACCGATGTTAGAAGTTTTTATCGTGTCAGCGTGATATTACCGTAGTGCAATTGCAGTAACCTACAGGGTAGTTGGTGGTAACTTAGTTAACGTAACCCACGGTTAAACGGCCTACACAGTAAGGCGGCCCATCCTACTATCCATATAAAAGATGCCTTTTTAAATCTATTATATCTCAATGCTAAGTCAGGACCGGTCTTTTATGAGGGAATAGTCCTGCAGAAAGCCTGGATCGGAAACTTTTACCACTAGTAACATTTTGAAAAACAGAAATGGTGTCAGAACCTCAAGCCAATCGTTGGTGATATATAGCAGAATAAAATTAAATAGAATATTAACTTGTTGACGGTAGGATTGATATCGAACTAAACCACAGTTTGTATTTATAAAAACTACTATTCGAGTTAAAATCGATGTCAACGTATCAATTCTTCCTTACTTCAAAACTCTCTTTTGTAATATAGCAGAACTAGATCTATACATGTTCAAGTCCGATACATCTGTTCTCTCACATGTTCAACCAGGAGGTCAATATATACTTCAATGTACGCTACTCTGTCTTTAAAACCGACCCACAATCACCCTGCTAGACACTCGTGCTCAGGCATCTTCCCGCCTCAAGGCCGCATCTTCTTCCTCAGCCCACGCTAAACTTTCACTGGGAAGCATGGATAGTCTGTCAATTGCACGGGGCAGGTCATGATGACGTCCCTTAAGTATTAATATACACAAAATCACCTTGCTGATTGGATGCCAAGAACCACACAAGGAGAACTGTCGTCCCACGGGGCCGCCAACGCTAAGTCCGGACCCAGCATACCCGGAGAGGACCTCAAACAAGATGTTGACCGTCGAAAATGTGACCGGATCTTGAGTGTAATGGTCATGCTCGGCTATGGAAATAGCGAGGGTTCCTAGCGCGATCCACATTAGATCGGAGCCGAACTGATGGCTGAGTTGTAGCCGCGTCCAGTTGGTACGGGAGGACTCGACTCTAAGGGATTGGATTGGGGCGGTGTGAACAAGGCTTTGCGTAAAGCAATTAGAGGGGAATCTGTACGGAATGCTGGGTATGAAATCCGGACGGTCGTCTTCATCGTAGATGGCAACCGATCTCTCTTCGTAGACGTTTGTGTTGCGCATCGTAATTAAGACCGGATGCGGAGGGATAAGCATCATAAGCCCATAAAGGATCAGAAGACCTTGTGAGAGGCCTCCGATGGAGACGAGATGGAAGCCCCCGAAGCGATTACTTACGCTTTGGAACAGACCGTCGAGGATGCGGAATCTTAGAGGGATCCTTTGCACCTCTTTGTTCCTGAGAGACAACGTCTCGAAGGAGATCCATTGAACCCCATTCAAAACGATAACTGTCGCCAGCAGGTACCACGAGTGCCGGGAAGGAAAGATATGGGTGTAGAGCCTTCTAGGATGATCCAGAATGAAGTCGAGGGTGACCACCCACTTTACCCATGAGGGCCTAGCGGGCAGCATCTTTCGGATACTCCAGATAATAAACCGCAATAAACAGGGGTAGAGGGTATTACCCGCCAAGATAAGTAAACCCAGGACCAGCAGAAGATATGTACTTTCTCGAAATGGGACCATGCTGTTATCTAGCAAGGACATCCCGTTATTGACAAAGGCAGATACGGCCAGAAACGCTCCCATCCAGAAAGGCGAGGCTCCATTATTCGAGGCCGCCAAACCGGGATGGTATGCCTTTATCCAATACCCTACCGCCAAAATGCCAAAGGACAGGCAAGTCAACCAGTACACAATGATGAGCATAATCAAAAATTTTAAAGCGAGATATTCCACCCCACCAAGCCTTTCTCGCTCTTCCGGTGTCAGTCCGTGGAATCGTGAATTTCGTGAGTCTAAGTATTTTGAGGCAGCATATTTCCATATTTCCCGGACAAGAGTTCGCATCGTTGGCTGTTCGTCTCCCGCGTCGTCCGTGTTTGGTAGACGCGATGGACCATCACGGGGATGATTTTCAAGATCCAAGCGGGCACCAACCCCGACCATTGGAAAAACTCGATGTTGGTGGTGGTGTTGGGTCTTCCGTCTCGATAGGTGGCTAAATTGATTATTGTCGTCATCAACCCACTGTATCTTATCTTCACCATTCAAGTCGGCATTGTCCTGGTCAGGCGTGAGGGCTTCAGTTGGGCTCTTGTTTCCTTTTCTCATATTGACACTGCTACTAGTCAGAATACGGGCCGTGCTTGGGTCAGCACGCCTGATCATTTTGTCAATATGCCTGAGCTTTTCGTCAAGGAACAGCCATCTTGTTAGGGGTACACTGAGTGAGAGTAAGACTCTATGCCCAATGACCAACAACGTAAATATGACCGATTGCTGGAAGGGTCTGAGGGTTGACAACTCGACCTGTACCAATCATTTTCTGTCATGACAGTCCGAAGCAAGGCATTTGCTCATAAATGAGGCTAACCTACAGTTCTCAATCCGGCACCGGCCAGGGCGCTTATGCAGAGGAATAAGGAATCAACATACGGTACGGGGCGACTGCTGCGACTGGTGGCCCAGACGATGGCCCCGCAAATGACAGAGGTTGTCATGAAAAACACACAATGCAGAGTACGATAGTTGAATGGCAACAAAACCGATAATGTAGCTTTCGTTAGGGCCACTATCTGGCTCCATACCGTGTGTAACAGCCTTGAGGGTATTCGGACCCATGCCCGGTCATCCTCGCGAAAACCTGACTTTTCTTTCATATTCCGGCCCTGCAGACTAGACACTTCGTCGTTGCCTTCGATATTCCGGTTCCGGTGATAGGTGGTATTAAAACTCGACGGATCAAGGTTTGTCATTTTCTTCTGATCTCCTTCAGATATGTATACAGTCGAGGAGCGGGCTCTATACAAGCTTTATTTTCCTATTACCCATTAAACCGGGAGACAACCGCAACAAAAGCTGAAGAAAAGGTTGGTTGAATTTTACAGCATATGGTGCTCCGTACAGAGTTCGACAGAACCCAGTCGGGCCAATTCGCGGTGCGCCTACGAAGCGGCACTTGGGCTGAGTACTACGCGAGGTGGCAGTGGCAGCGGATGTGACGTGTCACACTGACTAAGCGTCAGGAAAGTGATTGATCAACCATTAGTATAAGCTCAGCCACTGCGACTGATAGGCGGGGTTCATGCATGCATGCCTGGACCAGGACACGTATAAAGTCCCGGCCTGCTCACTGCCTTCCCATATCACTGTTTGGTGCGGAAGCTCTCCTCGCGGATTGGGAAGAAACCCTCCTTCGATCGCCCGACCCCAAACATCTCAATGATGGCAGACCCAATCACACTCATCGGCCTTGCATCGAGCATAATTTCTTTCGTAGAATTTGGGGTTGACCTGGTATCTGCAATCAAACTCTTGCATGACTCGCATCATGGTACACTCCCGGAAATCCACGACATGGAAGTCAAAGTGCTCGACGTCAAACGCACAATTCAGCTAGCTGTGATAGAATTGAGCCAGTATGTCAATTCAAAGGAGTCCTTAGCTCTCTTGAATCTCGCGAAGGAATGCGATGATAGAGCAATGGAACTCGAGAATTTGATGAAAAAGCTCAAAATGCGAGACGAGCCCTGGTCGCGAACGCTTGAAAGTGGGCGAGTGGCGGTGCGGACGTGGTGGAAAAGGAAAAGCATCGATGACTTGCTACATCGGCTGCTGGTACTCAGCTCAAATGTGAAAGAAGAAACGCGAGGTGTGCTCCAGCGGTATGTTCGGGCTTTTGTGTAGAAAGAAGGTTTCCCCTTGAGCTGATGGGCCAATCTGGAAACAGTGAACTTACCAAAAAGATCCGCGATGATCTGATAGATTTTCGGAACCTTCAGCAAGAGCTCGGAACAAGATCGGAGTCGCAATTTGATACCATACAGAGCGATATTCAGGAATTAGTTCGGGAACAGCAGGAAATGCAAGCCGCGCAACTTGACTTATTGATGCAAAGTCTTCGCGCATGTGAGGATGAACGGCGGATTTGCCAGCACCAACTCGAAGTTTTAAGGAGTCTCAGATTTGAGGAGCTCTATCGCCGGTGGTCTAGCATAGAGGAGACAGAGCGATTAACGAATAGTTGGCTCTTCGATCGATCCCAGACAACATTCATCGAATGGTTGGAAGGCCATGACGGCATCTATTGGATAAGCGGCAAGGTATGTGATACGATCTTTTAGTTATCTCTGCACAAAGCCGTCCAAGTTGACAGGCCCAACTACAAGGCCGGGAGTGGTAAATCTACATTGATGAAGTTCGCCTCCGAGCACGAGAAAACACTGGACGCTTTGACGAAGTGGTCACACAATCGGCCATTGTTTACAGCAAGCTTTTACTTCTGGAGACAAGGGTTCGACCTGCAGAAGTCACAGGTAGGGCTACTTCAAAGCCTGCTTTTCCAGTTAGTCAATCGAGCCCCTAGTCTGGCGCTCAAGATCTGCCCGGTGAATACGATTCCACCAGTATGGGATCTTGTGCGGCTCAGACAGGCTTACCAGTGCATATCCCAAGAAATAAATCTGTCGGCAAAGTTCTGCTTCTTTATAGATGGACTTGATGAGTATGATGGTGATGAAAATGAGGCTGCGAAAATGCTGATATTCCTATGCCAGTCCCGACATGTGAAGTTATGCGTCTCGAGCCGACCAAGATCCAGCATAGAGACAATTCTGTGGAAAGGTGACTGTGCACAAGGCCGTGGAAACGGTCAATTCACCTTCGCTATTCACGATTTCACCAAGGAGGACATGAGAAAGTATGTCCAGGCCAGACTGACGGAAGGGGGCTTAGGATCTCATCAGGGCTACCTATCCATCTCCAACGAAATCATCTCCCAGATTTCGGAGCAGGCGCAAGGTGTGTGGCTGTGGGTTTCACTGGTCACTCGCGACCTCCAAGCCGCACTCAGACGCAATGAATCAGTTGCAACCTTAAGGCGACTTATGAAGGAGCTCCCCCCTGATCTAGAAAGCTACTTTGCTCGCATGATTGAGAGAGTAGACAAACGCTTCCGGACAGAAATGGCGCGAATCTTTCTAATCGTTATAGAAGAAGTGCAGCCTCTCCCTTTGTTCGCATTCTCGCTTCTCGAGGAGGAAGATACAAATCCTAACTATGCGCTGGAGGCGGAGATTGGACCCTTAACGAAGGGTTCGAAACGAACAGAGGGTCTGTGGGAACGCCTCCAGGTGCGATGTAGTGATCTCCTTGTCCTAGATCATCGACCACATCCAATCTTCCTGCACAACTCGGTGGACCTTCTTCATCGCACGGTACGCGATTATCTCCAGGACTCTTACTATGGCAATCTCGAGTTTTACGCAAACGGCTTCGATCCCCTCGTGTCGCTGTGTAGAATCTCACTTTATTTGCTCAAAAGGATACCCACGCCCAACTTCAACGACAAAAGATCCATCCATAGGGTCATGGGTCTCGTCGACGAGTGCCTTTACTACGCTCACGAAGCCGAACAGAAACATTCATCTCGGCAGGCTGCCTCACTCAAGGTGTTGGATGAAGTCGACCGTGTCAACACCATCTACGCGCAGGGCATGCCCAACCACTGGACGCAGGCAAGGGACTCGCCTGTGACCCAGGGGTATGATGAATACCGTGAGGGTGGCAACTGCAACTTTTTGGCCTTGGCCATACAAGCACGGCTGGTCAAATACGTCAAGGAAAAGCTCCATTCGCAGCCAGACTTGCTGATGAAAAAGAGGGGCCGGCCGCTGTTGGACTACGCCCTTCGTCCCCTACGGGTGACCGCGATCACCATGCCATACCACTCCCAACGAGACGAGCCCAGCGTGAACGTCCGAATGGTAGAACTCCTCCTGCAAAAAGGAGCAAACCCAAACGCCAAGGTTTATTTGAATAAAGACCGGACTGTTTGGGCTCTCTTCCTCCTAGCATGTTACCAGGCTGAGCAGGAGGGAGCGGTGTCTGACTCACTCCGGCATGCATGGTGTGAAGCATGCAGAATACTGATCAAAAACGGCGCCAGGCTTGACCAAAGTCTGGGTAAAGGCACTCAGGGACTCTCTGTTCAGGGAATTCTCCGAAATCAAATATTCAGGGGACAAGAGGGGCTTTTGACAAATATTATAGAAAGCTCACAACTTGAGCAATCAAATAAACGATTTCCCACAATCCTCAGATCTGTGATTGAAAAAATAACATGGTGAAGGGAGGGATGCTCGTGCACGCAGCAAGATAGAGTAGCAAACAGTCAGATCAAGTCAGATTAATGGCGAAACTATACTTACCATCCGATTAACGGTCAGGTTGAGGAAAATATTTTATCTGACTGCAGTGTAATTAGAAATAAGATAATCAACTATCTTGATTTTTTTGGCATCAAGACCTGTCTGCTTGTGATAGAATAACTAGGATATCGTAGTTAGGACCACCAGGATGACGTATTAAGAAGGTTGTGTAAGTTGTAAGGTCATCGATAGCTACTACAGCCCATCATAATAGATATAAAATAGCATGTTACGGACCCCTGCTAGTTAACTCACTAGTAATGCGGACTCGCCAGACAGAAAGCGCTAATAAGACCAGTGCTCGGGCAAAAGCATATTGTTATTTAGTTGATTTCGTATGGCATTACAAGATGGGCCGCTCGACCGTATGGGCTGCGCGATCGTGGTTAGTTATCAAGGAGATGACAATCGAGGGCTGTCCGAGAATATGAGAGTAAGGGAATATAATCAGAGTGTTCCCATATTCAATTGGTATGGCAAGCTACTACGTGAATTCTTGCTTTGCCACTTTCAATCCCTATACAGAAGGTATTGCCGGAATGCACACCGAACGGGGTATATCCGTCTCATGCCTTTCAACCGATATGTAGACATATCATTAGTTGTAGAGAACTCCACCTAAATATTACTAGCCGTTTAAATCTCTTGAGGACCCATCAATGGCCCTCCTGCTGCTGGACTGCTCCATACACCTCGACCCAGTATGAGCTTCTAAGTCCTAAAATAGGGAAATCCTGACACCTGCAACCCGTTCTTTTCATAGTAATGTCAAGCCACAGGATATCTTCTCCGTGGGGGTTGGACCCGAGCGTCCAGGAAGAGGACTATTGTAATCAAAAACAGTAACGAAGGATATGAGCAAGATTATGAGCAGGGGTGAAAGCAGGTCTGATGGTGACTGAGTCGCACAGTCGCCGGGAAGGTATGTATATACTTGTAGAACCGAGTCTTGTAATCGACGGAAATTTCGGTCTACTATTATATGGTAGTGGGAAGATTCCATGATTACAGCGGAAATACAAGGCTAAATCTTTTGCTATACACAAGTCACGTGTACATATAACGGTACATATAATAGTTGGGACTATGCTCCTTGTATCATGATATGTGTCGATCTCATATTAGAAAATCAGATGTCAATGTGAGCAGGCTGGTAGTATGGTATATATATGCATGTCTTTGGCCACTCGTCGACAGCGTACAAGTTGACAATAAATCAACAAAGATGCTGTAACTGGCACGCACGGAATGGACTATCATCTAACCACATCTAACCTAGCCTTCGGAGTGTTGAATGACGCCAACGAGATGGATGGATTGCTCATTTGTCCTTTCGCCGACTGGCTAGCGGGATGTGTCAGACCCACAACCCCAGATAGTGACTATACTTTGAATATATACTCCCGAACGGTAACATATAAATAAAGACGCTCATTGACCTTTAGCAGCTGGATTCCAGAAAAGAACCGCGATCTTCACTCGCAAAAATGTCAGTTTTGGACGCCGAAAAGCTGCAACGCGGCAGCACGTCGAGACCAGAGCCCGCAGCTATTCCTATGGATGGAGATTTAGAGAATATCAGACCTAATCGACTCGCGCGAAGACTGTCCCCTAGACAAGTTCAGATGATTGCCATTGGTGGTACTATTGGAACAGGGTTATACTTGGGAACAGGCCAGGCCCTGGCAACTGGGGGACCCGCGTCGATATTATTGGCATATACCATTTGCGGTGGCATTGTCTTCATTACAATGCTCTCTCTGGGAGAGATGGTGGCATTTATGCCTGTTGCAGGCTCGTTTTGTACCTTTTCAGGGTATGCTGGGCCTTGATCAAAGCGTGATTAGCGGTTTTCGTGCTGACCTTAACAAGGCGTTTCGTGGATGATGCTCTTGGATTCGCGTTAACGTGGAATTACTGGGCGAATGACGCCGTCTCCACAGCTTCAGACATTGTAGCACTGCAGGTCTTGCTGGAATACTGGACGAAGCATTTCCCCGGCTGGGGCCTAAGCCTTATGTGTCTTGCGCTTGTTCTGGTCTTGAATGTCTGCTCTGTTAGGGTCTTTGGAGAGGTATTTTGGTCATAAGAAAGGCTTAAATGTGATGTTATATTAACACTTCCTCTAGGTTGAATACTGGTTGTCTTTGCTCAAAGTTGTGACCATCATTGTATGTGCACATACCCAGATTCATTTCCATGGCACCAAGCTCATGTATTTTAGGTCTTCATCATTGTCGGAATTGCTGTGAATTGTGGCGCTAATACTGATCGGACATACTTGGGGGCTAAATACTTCTACACTGGGGACGCGCCCTTTGTCGGTGGGATCGGAGGCTTCGCCTCTGTTTTTGTGACAGCTTCCTTTGCATAGTAATCTTCACTTGTATGGCCGAAGCACATCTGGACTATGATCGCTGATCGTACAACATAGTGGCGGAACCGAAAATGTGGCTGTTACAGCTGGCGAGACACGAAACCCCGCTCGGACCTATCCCCGTGTCATTCGCAATGTCTTCTGGCGCATTTTGATGTTCTATGTGGTATCTATCATCATCATAGGCCTTGATATTCCTTACAACTACCCTGGCCTATCCACAGAGAGTGCTTTGACCAGTCCTTTCACCATTGTCTTCGAGAAAGCCGGCAGTACCATGGCGGGCAGTTTTATAAATGCTGTAATCATGACAAGTGGAATTTCTGCGGCCAATCATGCCCTCTTCGCCGGCTCGCGCCTTCTCTACACCCTTGCCATCACGGGCCACGCCCCAGGTTCTCGTTTCTTGGGCGACCTGAACCGATTCAATGTCCCGTGGATGTCGGTACTTGCCACCGCAGCCATCAGTGCCCTCTGCTTCGGGGCAAGTAAGATCGGTGCTGGTCAGGTCTGGTCGTGGCTGCAGAACCTAGTGGGGGTGTCAAACCAGATTTCCTGGCTCTTCATCTGTCTGACTTCGCTGCGTTTCCGGTCTGCCGTCCGACTGCAGAACCTTGAGCATCTGCTCCCGTTCAGGAATTTCACGTATCCGTGGGGCCCGGCGCTCGCTGTCGGATTGAACCTCTTTTTGGTTCTCATCCAGGGCTGGAAGTCCTTTAGCCCAACATTTGATGCCGCTGAGTTTGTATCATACTATATTGAGATCCCAATCATGTGCTCCTTGTTCTTGGTTTGGAAGCTTTGCAAGAAAACCAAGCTTGTTCCTCTCGGTGAGATTGACTTGACAACAGACCGATACGAGCGGGAGGAAGATGCTCATGATATTAGCTTACATGGCTCCGAGGGTTCTCCAGACAATGACCGGCTAAGCTGTGTAACAAGGATGTTAGCGTTTCTCAAAGAGGTGAGGAATTGGGTGCTTTAAACAAATGGATCAATGGCGGGCGACTAACAGTGGGATCATGTCAATTGTCAATCACCTTATATGTTACGGCCCGGTGCCAAGGACCAAATAAAAATCCTGTGGTGGTATATTCGAATCAAAAGTAGCTTTCTGCTTCGCACAATATGGCACAATTATGGGACGTACATGCCCGGATGACCTTAGTATGTAAATAAAAACGCACAGCAGCGAGCTCTTCTGCTCTTGCGATGGAATCATCTGAGCGAAAACTACCAAAGCCGCTAGTCAGCCCTTGTGTGACGGTAGTTCTGCTAATGCAGTCTGCCAACAAAGAGCCAGTATTGTATTTTTTCAGATATCCTGTCATGTAGGGACATCAACATCATTCTGCCAATATGGACAGCTGGTCACCTGTAAGCTTTGAACTCCGAAGAAGAACAGATAAACATCAAATCATAATCAATATACTATTAATCCTGAAGCGCATCTCATTGGTTTAGCGAAGGGTGGCCAGCAAGATTGTGCCAGAAACTCAGTTCAAATTCTTGGAGGTTGGTATTGTCCCACAACCCCCAGGATCCGTCATCTAGGGCGTCCCTTTGCTCAGAGGCAGCCGCCCCTTCATGTTGGTTATCTGGAGCCACCACTGTGTTGTCTGAAGGTGTCATCATACGATCAAGAATAGCCTTTATGGTTTGGGTTGCGCGAGCTAGCAAGGCATAGTTGGGTGAGTCCACATATACCAATGTTCCGCGTTCGATTTCTGCCGCAAGAATGCTTAACTCTTGGAATATTTTAGAGTAACTTGTTGCGAAGCTTCCAATTGCAAATGAGCGGTTGACAAGAGTGAGACAAATCATTCCCGCAGCTGACAAGCCATAGTATGCAACCTTTGATATCGTTCTAGTTAGATATGATGTTGCAAATTGGGATGCACATGGAGCCCACCTTCCATACGAGCGATGTACCAGAGTTCACTATCTGATCTTTGAGTAAAATGGTTTCTACAACAAGGCCCAACATTTTCAGGGAGACATTGAGCAAGTCCGAATCGGGCTCCGTGGACATAGGGCGGACTAATGCAAGCCGCAGAAGAAATTGGACATGTAAGTAGTTCAACTTCATATTAACCATGAAGTCTCGTTCTACTGGTCGCCGGTCACAGGCTTTAAGGCCGCCCTCCAGCCGACAGCTTCGAGGAACCGCAAGCCATTGCGCCTGGATATCAGCCTCTATCAGCCTTATTGAAGTTAGAACCACACTTAAGAGTAATATACAGAGATCGCTCAACTTACCATGCTCTTCGGGCCCTTTCATCATAATTGTCCTCGGTGAACAAGTCCAATATATCATCCTTCAAAATGGCACAAAGACCAGCCCATCTTGAATCAGTAGCAAAGTCCAGCTTTTCAGTATGAAGCCAAATTGCTGGGCTGCGCGATGCCTCGTGTGAATCCTCATTATGATCACCTGGTAGATAAAAGTGACAGAATTTACGTAGGATCCGAGGTGGCCGACCAAGAAAAATGGAAACGTTCTTGTCGGCGGAGTATGCTCGACAGAAGGCGGTCTGCCGCAGATCCCGTAGGAAGGTAGGGGCTGCACGAAAAGATTCTGTTTGTTGTTGGTGGTATCCAAGGGCAAAAAGAGCAGCTGCGACATCCCCCAGTTTTCTCCAGGACAGGTAGCCTGGAAGAGAAATCAGATTAGTATTGTATGTGCTACTAGGATTTCTTCACAATCCGAATCACCTACTTTGGTCGCCATCAACCTGCGAATGAGATATGAAGTTCTCGTAGGTCAAAAAGAGTTGGAGGTCATTCATACAGTCAAGGGGTAAACATAGATCCAGGAACTGATCTGAGTAGGAGAGCGTCAACTTCTGTATCCTACGACGCTGTTGTTCCGACCCATACATTGGTTCTGCATAAGTCAAGTCAATAGACGCTCGACAGACAGCGGTACAAAAAAGACCCAATGTTTCCCATCGCGCATGAGGTCCGCAAAAGTTAGCGCAGTATTCGTCCAATGTTGTGTGACTATTGAGGCGGAGAGGACAGCGGGAATTGTAGAAGAGACGCTTGGAAATACTTGTGGCCGATGCATGTGTTCCATCAAATCCTGATATCAAGTGAGAAGCTGTAGATGCGCAAGGGGCAGTCAAGGGGCCAGCTAAAGCAAGATTTGTTCCCGTGGCTATCCATCTCCTGAAAAGCTGGGTGAACTGCGGAATCAATGATTCTCGGTGCAATTCCAGAATTAGCTCAGCACCTTTGGCGATACAACTGTCGTCGAAAATATAGTCATCGGCCGGATTTGGAAATGATTCGATTTCAGTCGTCGGACCCACTTCTGCGGTCTTCTGGAATTGCAATTGATCGAAAAACGTTGTATGGCTCGATGAACCCAAATACCCTGGGTTGGGATATTGAACAGCTGTGACAATCCCCGGAGCGTTGATAGCTTCATCGGCTGTGACTTCAGAATGAGTCTGATCATTTTCTTGCCTTCGCCAGTTTGCAGCCCGAGCAGATGGTCTTTTGAATGGTCGTGAACGGTATGTACAATCAGCACCTCGGCCTCGCTCCCTGCAGCGTGAACAAACGGGTCTGTCATGGTCGCACCGGAGCTTTATCGCTCGGCACGGATCACAGGCAGGGAGCTTGGCGGATTTCGCAGATAGTCGGTTTATTGACGTCGGCGTCGGCATCCTGTGCATCGGTGATCTTGCAAATTTCGGCTGGGCTGCGCTTCTACCCCCTGTTTTGCTGCGCCGAGCAACACACCGCCCGCTATGTGACGTTTTCTCACCGGCGGAAGCGGGGGTGAGACTCCGATGTTCACTCCGACTCCGAAGCAGGCTTTTCGGAAGCATTGAATGGAGAGATGGGATAGAAGGCCTACTTAACATCATCGGGATAGGAGTCATTACGGAATTTTCCTGCAAAATCACGACATTGTTGTGCTTGGTACTGCTATCATCCAGTCAAACACCAATTTCATCCGGTCCTTGACTCACTGTTCATTGGGCTCGGTTGTGGAGGGTTGACATTGAAAACTTGTCAAGAATATGACTGTGAATAGCATCGGGGTGCCAGTACTTCCGCCAAATCTTTTCCGTCTTTTGAATCTAGGTCGGCGTGGGATCGTTACTTCTACCCTGTGGTAATTATTCGCCTGACAAGGCCCGCTATTGTCCAATACTGTAGATCTGTACTAGATCGACATCATTTCACCTGAGTCAGATGGGAGCGAAAGCAGAGGCGAAAAATCAAAAGATAAATATGTCTACCTACCTAGTCACGGTACAGAGTTTGCATTAAATTTTCTCCCCAGCGTAAATCTGTACGTCGTATTCTGGTGTAAAATCTCAACTACTTTCGATCATTGCAGTGCAGTTTCAGAACCGGCATAGATCAGAGGGGTAGCTGTCCCATACAGCTGCTAAGCGGTTCGAAAAACTAGTATGCTATGTTATGTCCGCGTTTGAATTACACAACAAGGAAGTATTAACAGAATGAAAGTTATATTATTATACTCTGTATATAAAGTATTATTAAATAATACTAATTTTAAATTTATCAGACATTATTTGACTGTTGTCCTGTTATGAAGATTTCCCTACTAGACAGCTGCGCGTCTTACCAGCACATGGCCCGGTAGAAGGTCGCATATAAGTTCAATATTTCATTCGTTGCAATTTATCATCGTTTTCTGTGTTGTTCCTCCAACCGGTCAAATAGAAGAGCTATGGTAGATTCCGGCTTTCATGAAGATCCATAACGCTTGGAAGATATGATAAAGGGCGTCTCCCCCTTAAATTCAAGATTCATCAGCCACAAGGCTCAGAAATTCATGCTGAGCCTAAGCTTGTTCCCTTCCACTATTTCATCCTTCCTGTCCATAAGCTCTTCCATATCCCAGGGACAACTAATATATCTTCCACCCATCCACACTCTTCGTTCTGCAGCGAGCCACGCGATGGTGTCGCCTGCCATTTCTGGCTTATGAGGCAGCATTTCGCGCACCTCTGCAGGCTCGTTGATCGTCATATGGGTCTTAATTGCTCCGGGGTTTACGCAGAAAGAAAGCAACCCATCATCGCCGTGTTCTAGGTTCAGGGCCTCAGTCCAGCGAAGAACTGCAAGTTTAGAAGTTCTATAGCTTGCGCCGCCTTTTCGCACGCTAAGAGCACCGGAGGAGGCCACATTGATCATGATTCCCAGGCCGTCGTGTTTTGCGCGCGTGTCAATCAGCATAGGTAGGAACGCCCTCGTCATATTGAATAGGCCATGGACGTTGACCTCCCAAGTCTTCCAGTACACATCTGGATCTGCGTCCAAAATGGAACTGTAAGGCTCCTGATGTGCTGCGTTGTTGATGAGTACATCCAATCGATGTCCGTAAGCCTCCGAGACGGTCTCTTTAAAAGCCGCAACGCTTTCCCACCGAGATATGTCAACACGGCCGCTTACTACCTGGGGTTCAGGTCGGCCTGCCTCTACAGCCGCAGCCTTTAGTCGAGTGACAAGATCATCAGAGATACCGTGTAAGTCTAAGACCGCGATTGCGGATGCTCCAGCGCGAGCAAAGGCAGTGGCAGTTGCGTAGCCTACTCCATCTTCCCAGGCGGCGCCGGTGATGAGCACATGCCGTCCAGAAAAGTCCTGTGCCAGTGGCGAAATGAAGGGATAGCTTGTAAAATGAGTCTTTTCGGTGAAATCGCGGCGTATGACAGGCTGGTCTGCGAAGGACATGGTGACGAGAAAGATGAAGTGTGTAGTAAAAAGTGATATATTAGGCAGGAGGAGGAGAGGGGCGCCCTAGTTGATTGGATTCGAGAGGTCCAGTAGATACTCCCGAGGACAACGATGTTGGTGATATTGGAGAAAGCAGCGGAAGAGTAGCGCGGCAGGCATGAGACTTCTGTACTGGCTCCGCGCGAGAAAACGTGACTGTCGCTCACGGTCCATAGATAGCCAACCGAGGAAGGTCCGGCTGCTGCCCTAGGTACGAATCAC